GCATTGTTTGATTTGCATAACCAGCAAAAGGGCACCTAGAGCTCCCTTGCAATATATTACTTCGTGGGAAAAACCTGATACGCCTTTTCATACATTACATGTCGATGTATTAGGACCCTTGCCGCAGTCAAATGACTATAAGTTTGTAATAATAATTGTAGATTCCTTTACAAAATTTTGTTTGTTATATGCGATATATAGACAAGATGTTAGTGAGCTTAAAAGAATTTTTCTTAACACGGTCTCTCTCTTTGGGGCACCCAAATTACTCGTTTGCGATAAAGGTCGAATGTTCGAGTCAGCCGAATTCATGAGACTTACAAAAGAGTTGTCCATGGAAGTGCATTATATTACGCCTGAAATGCACCATGCTAACGGCCAGGTGGAACGCTATGTTCGCACTGTGCTCAACATGATTCGCATAGAAACTCGCCATAAAAAATCTTCATGGTCAGAAACGCTTTGGAAGCTGCAGCTGGTTTTAAATATTACTAAACAAAAAACTACGCAAACGTCTGCGCTAAATTTGTTGACAGGGATTGCTGCTACAACTCCTATAATACGGTCGTTGGTGCGTGATGTAGCAGTGGAAGGTACTAAGCCCAATCGCGAAGCTTGGCGCGAACTAAGTCGTACCAGAGCATGTGAATTGCTGAGCAACAACCAGAGGTATCAAGATTGCTACGCTAACCAGCTAAGAAGACCACCCAGAGAGTTTAAGGTGGATGATTTTGTCTTCGTTACTAAGTTTACGCAGTCAACTGGTAAACTTGACCCTGGCATGCGAGGGCCTTATCGTGTCACAAAGGTTTTACCCAGCGGGCGATACGCATTGACACTATTGAGTGGTGCTTATGGGAAAACCACCCAAGCAGCGGCACAATACATGGTGCCTTGGAAAGGAGAATGGTGCCCCGATACTTGTGCAGCCTTTTTCGAGGGTGTGTACTAATGTTACTAGCAAATGTATGAATGAGAGATATGCGTAATGGAGGCCTCTATCTCATGAAGCCATACAGTTAAGCATAATGGAGGCCTATGACTGTTGTGCTTAATTTTTGTAATTTTTGTAAAACTACGCTAGAAATATGTGTTACTTGTATTGTGTTTGCTATATGGAATTGATGATGTATGGTTGTGTGAATTATGAAACTTGAATGTCATATTTTTTTTACGTATGTAAGTGAATAATGAGCAAGGGCCTTGAAAGTGTGCATTATGAGAGTGGTCAATACGACTCATTTAACTTGTTAAAAGAGGACTTATAAAGCATGTTTCTTTTTCAGAGTGTGGTGATGATCTTGACCAAGAAGCAGGTCCTTCACATGCTGCCAAAGACGCGCACGAGGACGGCGCCACCTCAGGAAGGCCGTGTTAGGAAAAACGGAACGCGATATATTTTTTTTTTTCAAAACACCCTCATCAAGTCAAGTATATAAACCTTTGTATCAAGTAAGTTAGGCATTTTGCTCGAGACTTCTGAACCGGTGAGATTGTTTCTTGATAGTTATTATTTCTGTTAATTTTTGTGATTTATTGATACTAGTATTGTGTTTGTTATTTTTCTAAGCTGGCTCTCTTTAAAAGTTATAATTTTAGATCGTTAATGTTGTTTTAAGTTAAAGAATTAATTCCAAATAAAATAATCATTAAACTGTAAAACTGTAGTTTTTAATTACCTTCATTTAATTTATTACTTTTATAAATTTTAAAACCTATTCCACTTCTGGTTCCTAAAAATATATATTGTTTTTTTTTTTGTGGTTTTGGTTAGGTTTGGCAAAAATATTCCAATGAGTTATTAGATATTATTACTTCATATATATCAATTTACACAACGACGATCGATTATATATATATTGTTTTTTTTTTTTTGGTTTGGGTTAGATTTGGCGAAAAATATTCCAATGAGTTATTAGATATTATTACTTCATGTATATCAATTTACACAACGACGATCGATTATATATATATTGTTTTTTCTTTTGGTTTGGGTTAGGTTTGGCGAAAAATATTCCAATGAGTTATTAGATATTATTACTTCATGTATATCAATTTACACAACGACGATCGATTCTATATATGTTTTTTTTTGGTTTGGGTTAGGTTTGGCGAAAAATATTCCAATGAGTTATTAGATATTATTACTTCATGTATATCAATTTACACAACGACGATCGATTATATATATATATTGTTTTTTTTTGGTTTGGGTTAGGTTTGGCGAAAAATATTCCAATGAGTTATTAGATATTATTACTTCATGTATATCAATTTACACAACGACGATCGATTATATATATATTGTTTTTTTTTTTGGTTTGGGTTAGGTTTGGCGAAAAATATTCCAATGAGTTATTAGATATTATTACTTCATGTATAGTATCGGCGTTGTCGCATCCTCTACTCCTGCAGCCGTTTGGGGTGGTTCGGTTTCGGACGCCGTGGAGGTTTGCCCAATTTGGGCAGGAAGGTTTAGGCTTAGGCCGCTTGTTTTTGCAGGTTGCCCACTTCGGTGGGCGGTGTTTGGTTGTGTGGGGCTGCTCCGGGTACTTCTCTGTTCAGCAGAGTGGACTTGGGAGCAGTCTCACTTGTCAGGGTTGCAAGTCTTCCCATAATGGGGTCGTCCCGCTTGGGGCGGCCTCATGGTTGGTGGCTTCGGCCAACCGTCGGGGCGTCACGGTTGTATGCGAAAGCGGTCCCGTGGCGTCCCACATGGCAGCTGTGGGGAAAGTTGGGTTTTAGTGGGTATGCCGGTCTCATTAGCCGGAGAGTCTCCACATAACCACCCTGGGGGGGAAGTCGGGTGGTATCCGTAATAGGATTTCCCAACTATAAAAAAAAAAAAAAGGTTATCGACCTAAGATCTTGCGATTACGGGTTTGTTGTTGAGTGTTTTGGATATTTATCGATTGGATTTGACTACCGGACTTTGATTCTTGCAATACATGTTTTGACTTTTGGCTTTTCTTACGGATTTTGGATTTTACTTGTGATTTGGCTTTTGTTGACATTGTGTGCGTTTTTCTTTGTGTTTGGGTGTGTTGGTGTGTCTGAGGCATGGACTCAGACACGTCCGAGGGTGCGGACACCGACTCGTCCGTGGGGCGAAAGCGGGCCCACCCTTTACCGCCTTTGGTAAGTTCCTCCGGGTCCGAAACGGAAACGGAGATGACCGTTGGCGCCAGGGTGGTCAAGGCGCGGAAGGGAGCGTCCCAGAAGGGCGCTGGAGGTGCAGGGAGTTCGGGCGTTGCTCGCGCGCGCCGCGAGCTAAAGGAGCTGGAAGAGGAGGACCGCGAACTTGAGTTCGAGAGACGATTGCGCAAGGCGCAACGGGTCCTGGCGGTGAGGGCGGTGCGGGGATACCGTACGGTGTCATTTACGGCGGCGACACTTCTGGCGGGCGATCCGCCCTGGGAACTCCAGGCGGAGTTGCTCGCCGAAGTGTACCAGTTTCGGGCGAGTGAGCGGGCTCGAGGGGAACGTCCAGCGCGGGAGGAATCGCGCGGATCAGGCGCCTAGCTGACGAGGCACTGATCCGGCGCTGGTGGGAAGATCTGGGGACTCCAGCGGCTGGCCTGGCGACGGTGGGGGCGGTTCGTCCGTTCCTGTCTCGCTGGGTCAGGCGGCCACACGGCGTCCTGATGTTCAGGTTGACGCAGATGCTTACCGGGCACGGGTGCTTTGGTAAGTATCTGTGTCAAGTTGCGCGTCGGGAACCGTTGCCCGTATGCCACGAGTGTGGTGCGTCTGAGGACACCTCGCACCACACCCTCGCGGTATGCGCCGCTTGGGCTCCCCAGCGCCATGCCCTGATGGCGGTAGTGGGTGGAGACCTGTCGTTGCGAAGCGTGGTGGGGGCCATGCTACGCGACGAGAGGTCCTGGTCGGCGATGGTCTCCTTCAGCGAGGCCGTCATCTCACTGAAGGAGACGGCGGAGAGGGAACGCGAGGCTAACGCCTTAGCAGACCCTCTTCGTCGCCGTCGACTGGGGGAGAGGAGGCGCCGGTACGCGCATCTTCTCCCGCCACCCTAGAGGAGCTACTGCGGGGGGGTCTCTCGTTGACTCCCCTACACGTCATCGGGGCGGTCGGGATGCTCTGTGAATCGAGGGCATCCCGGTTTAGGCGAGGCAGGCCCGCGTGGTACGGGCTGTCCGCAGGGGTGTTGCAGTGAATGCGCAAGCGATCCTGCACACCCCATTGCACTGCGGCGACGGGTTCCGCTGTGGGTTTTAGTGAGTAGGAGTCTCACAGTACCCTACCCATTGACGGCCGGTAGGGTCCCCATGATGGGTTTCCCCAGCGTCAAAAAAAAAAAAACAAATTAAAAAAAAAAAAAGGTTATCGACCTAAGCACATGTCAACGAAGCCGCTACAGGACAAACAAAAACATAAAAACAGCATTTCACAGAGGGCACCATGGTGTACACTATCCCCGAAACCACAACAGAGCTCCAAGTGGGAAGCAAAAAGGATTACACATACATAATCAATTGGAAACTGAAATATATTTGAATGCCTATGAGAACTATACACAATAATGCAGCCGGGGACAAAGGAAACGCACGTACTTCGTTGACCGTTTATTTCACAATGAGAGTACAAATTAATTACACCTACAATGTAATCCACATAAACAAATCTACCCTCATACATCACACCTCTCTACTTAAATTACAACTAAAAATAATTCTAAGTACATCTAGAGAATACATATAAATCACAAGAAGAAATACTTAAATAATAGACACAATATTCTAATTTCTTTAACGTTTTAGATAACCGACCAAGAACTTCTAATATTTAAAATATCCATTTAATTTGCCTATATACATACATACATATTAAATAAACTATTATATATACATAAGATGCTAATTCTTATTAACTCAATAACAAAAAACATTTGATAACTCAACATTATCTATACATACATATATAATATATATATTATTCCACTTAGGATACAATATTTTCATATATGTACATTCGACCTAGGTATCTATTCCATATCTCACAACCAGTTTTCTTTGGCGCTTGGGACGGTCCAGCGGTGACGGAGGCGAGCAACTACTTGAGGGACAAGAATCAATAAGTAAAGGATCCTCTGCCCGTTTATCAGTCATACTCTTATCCTCCTCCCTACAAATTCGACTTCCTGCACTTTCAGTATTTAATTCTAAGCTCTCTTTCTCATCTGGCTGCGCGACGACCTCCTTATCACTTGCTGAGCTCATCGCGACCGAATAACGGGATTTGCGCTTTATTTGATCAATATGTCTGTGAAACCTTTGACCGTTACCGCTATCTACAATGTACCTTTGTGAACCCTCTCTACCTATCACCGTACCGTCTAGCCATTTATCTTTACCGCCATAGCCCCTAGCCATAACTTGGTCTCCTAATTGCAAATCGCGCGGCACGCCGCCTGCGTATTGAACTTGGCGTGCTTGCGCATCCCGCACGCTGTCCTCGCGGGCACGCTCACCTCTCAGGAGATCTAACCGAGAACGGAGCGCGCGCCGTTGAAGCAACATGGAAGGGCTTTCGCCGGTACTACTATGGACGCTATTTCGATATGACAAAAGAAAAGTTTGCAGTGCAGCGTCTATATCGATTGACTCCCGCATGGCCTTTTTAATTACTCGCTTGCATAGCTTCACTGCGTTTTCCGCGGCCCCATTTGATGCCGGGTGATAAACCGGTGAAAACGATTGACGGACACCATTCTTTATTAAGAAATCCCTGAACTCAAGACTCGTAAAAGGGGGCCCTCGGTCCGACACGATCTCGGTCGGTAAGCCGAAACGTGCAAAAGTTGCCCTTATAGTTTTTATTACCGATGTAGCGTTCGTTCGAGCCATTTCAAATATTTCCAGCCATTTTGTACTGGAATCTATTAATATTAAGAACGTTTTACTACCTAAAGGACCTAGAAAATCTAAATGAATCCTACTCCAAGGACGCGAATCGTAAGTCCAAGGACTTGGGGGAGCACGTGGAGGTGCCTGGGCCTCCGCCGCGCACGTGTCGCATTGCCTGCATACGGCTTCGACGTCAACATCTATGTTCGGCCACCATACATAACTCCTCGCTATACCTTTAGTTTTGACAATGCCCATGTGACTTGCATGAAGCTGCTTCAATACTATACTACGTAATCCTGCTGGTACGATAACCCTATAGCCCCACATTAAACATCCTCGATCTATATATATTTCGTTACGCTTACTATAGTATGGCTTGTATTCTTCCCCCTCTGGACAGGTTAAAGGCCATCCAGAATGAACGTATAAAATTATTTTACTTAGTAATGTGTCCCTACTAGTAGCCGTTCTTATATCATCATTCGTTACGGGCATAAACGTCTCTACAAAATTTAAATACGTATTTTCTTTAATCACGTGATCCGTGGCACTAGTCTGGGGCAGTCTAGATAATGCATCCGCACAATTTTTCTGTGACGAGACGTACTCTATCACATAATTATATCCCGATAACAAAACGGCCCACCTCTGCAACCGCGACGCCGCCATAATTGGAATTCCTGCTTTAGTACCAAAAATATATGTTAGTGGTTTATGATCTGTTCTTAATGTAAAACGCCGACCGTAAAGATATTGATGAAACTTTCTAATTCCATATATTATTCCTAGAGCTTCCCTATCTATCTGTGAATACGCCCGTTCAGCTGCCGTTAATGAGCGCGAAGCATAAGCTATCGGCCGTTCGCCCTCGGGAGTACTGTGTGAGATGACGGCGCCTACCCCTACGCCGCTCGCGTCTGCCGTCAGTATTAGCGGCAAGTCGCTCGAGTAATGCACCAATACTTCGCTCGAACTTAATTTTTCTTTAATTATACGGAAAGCCCTTTTACATTCTTCACTCCATATGAATTTAACATTAGCCCGAAGTAAATTGTATAGCGGTGCTAAGATAGTACTTACGTTTTTAATAAATTTAGCGTAATACATGACCATACCTATGAAAGATCTCAGCTCAGATACCGTCGTGGGTGCGGGAGTGTTAACAATCGCCTTAACCTTTTCCGGATTAGTATGTATACCACGTTTGTTAATAACATGCCCTAGGTAAGAGATCGATTCCTGGAAAAACTCACATTTTTCTTTCTTTACTTTTAAGCCACTAATTTTCAAACGTTCAAATACTTTATGTAAATTCTTTATATGTTCTAGATTATTCCGTCCAGTAATTATAATACCATCCAAAAATACTCCTACATATGGTAAATCGGCAAATAATTGCTCTAAACGCTTTTGAAAAATACCTGGGCTAGACGATAGGCCGAATACTAAACGATTAAACATAAAAAGTCCTTTGTGCGTATTAATTACCGTATATTTCTTACTCTCGTCTAATTCAATCTGTGCGTAGGCCTGTGACAGGTCTATTTTAGTGAACAGCTCGCCTCCATGTAACCGTGCGAGCAAGTCTTCCGTGCGAGGTAGCGGGTAACGGTCAATCTCAATTACCTTATTGAGAGTTAATTTGTAATCAGCACAAATCCGTACATTACCGTCTTTCTTCATAACTGGCACTATCGGTGTGGCCCAGTCAGAGCGCTCAACGGGTGTGAGGATGCCATCGCGCACCATCTGGTCAAGCGCGCGCTCCACCGGCCCGCGCAGAGCGTACGCCAGGGGACGCGCACGCATGAACACCGGCCGCGCTCCCTCCCGTATGTGAATGCTCGCCGCGCCGCCGGTGAACCGTCCCAGGCCCTCCGCAAATACTTCACAATATTTGGAACTGAAATCATTGAAATTAAAATTATTATCGGTTATATAATTCATTGTATCAACTTTGAGTTTAGGCAATTTTATGTTTAATTCCAATAACCATTGTCTACCCAATAAAGCAGACTTAGCATCGCGCACAACGTACAGATCTAAATATTTTTCTTGCCCGCGGTATCTAACTAGAGGTCTAATGACCCCCACAGGGCGCACTGTCTCCCCCGTATAATATTTTAAAATTAATCTACACTCTTCTAATTTTAAATCATATAAATATTTTTTATAAAATTCATGACTTATGCATGACACTGCACTACCCGTATCACATTCCATCGAGATAGCTTTATTTTGAACATCTAATGTCACCATGAATGGTTTACAAAGTTCTAAGGCTAATTGGTTAAGTTCAACTACTATTACCTCGTCACTCTCTTCGCTGTCTGAAGTCGTCGCCGCTATCGTCGTACTCCCCGTCTCGATGTTATAAGCTCCCTTCACATTAGGACAGACGCGCTGCAGATGACCTTGTTGCTTGCACGCTCTGCACACATAGCGCGCAAATCTGCACGGTACCCTAACGTGCTGGCCACCACAAGCGCGACAGCGCGCCCCGACGGCCGCCCGGTGCCGCGATGTCTCCGCTGCCGCCGCCGACCGCCCGCGCCGGCCGGCCGTACCGCCCGCGGCCGACGATCTCCCCGCCGCCGCTACTGCCGCCTGACACACCGTCGTCATCGCCGGTACTCCACCCGGCCCCTCAGCATGGCTCTCCACTACCGCTGCATCCTTTTCAGCCGCCTCCATACTAACCGCCAGGCGATACGCTTTCGAGAAATCAAGGTCATCCTCTTGAAATAGCCGTTGCCGTATCGCTTCACACTGTATTCCGCAAACAAATTGATCTCTAAGGCTTTCTTGCAACCACGCCCCGAAATCACATGTTTTAGAAAGTTTTTTTAACACAGCGATATATTCCGCCACTGTTTCACTGCTCATTTGCTTCCTATGTCGAAATTTAAATCGTTCCGCCAAAATACTCGGCTTGGGTTGTAAATGTTTTTCTAGAACATTCGTTAACTGTTCGAACGTTTTCGATGACGGCTTGTCGGGAGTACACAAGTCCACCAATAGTTCATAACACTCTAATCCAACTACGGTGATTAACGTTGGCACTTTTAGCTCACTTGCTATTTTATTAACAATAAAATATTGTTCTAGACGCTCCACATATAACCGCCAATTGTCCGTCCGTATATTAAATTCCGCTATTTTACCAATCGACATTTTTTTTATTTATTTTATTTATAATATGCACAGTGCACACGTAAGTTCAATCGTCGCCACTGAAATATATTTGAATGCCTATGAGAACTATACACAATAATGCAGCCGGGGACAAAGGAAACGCACGTACTTCGTTGACCGTTTATTTCACAATGAGAGTACAAATTAATTACACCTACAATGTAATCCACATAAACAAATCTACCCTCATACATCACAGAAACCATGCCACGAAAGAGGAGGAGAGCTGGTAATGGGGGAGGTCAAATATACCGATGACCTGATGTTGTCCACAATCCTTTCCTTCCTGGGACCCTTTACAACCCAATGCATATTTGGAGCACGAAATGCGACTGTTCCCTCCGAAATAAAAGACCGCCCTCAGGAAGAAAAGGATCAGGGTGTCTTAGCCCTAGTGCTGACTTCATTAATGACATTGGCGAAGCCAGTGACCCCCATGAACTCAGCTGCCTACCAGAAACGGTGGTCCACAGCTCTTGTCACCCCTTCCATACAAGATTTGGTGGCCATGGGCTCATGGACTGGAGTAGTTAAGACAGCCAGAAGGTTTCAAGGTATCATCGCGGTCAGGAGCGATCTGCGGCAAGAGATTGTAGACAGGGTCTTGACGATGACAGATGAAACCGGTATTAAGGGGGCTATAATAGCTCAGTTAAGGATGGTCTGGTCATACGCCTCTCTCAAGGCAGCAGAGTTCATGCAGAAATTCAGCAAAACCCCTTGCCGTGCGCTAGAGATACCTTCGGTGTTAGACCAGGCCCTCCTTCTGAAACAAAGATGGGAAGCTGCAGAGAGAGAAGACCCAAATTTCCCTTACAGTAGAGTAAGAAACCCAAATGCACATCCCGAGCTGAACCACGCACACTTTCCCGACCTCTATTACGCGGCGATAGCTTATGCCAAAGCCAATAAGTTAATAGGGGAAAACTTTCACGTCTCCCAGCCTAACAAAGTACAGAATGCACTCCTGATCGATAGGTACATCACCAAGATGGCGGTGGCCGCCATGGGTGAAATAACCGAAGAAACACGACAAAAGTTAATGACACTAGGATATCCAGTCGGACACAGGAGGTCGCACGACACCGACTCCGAAGAAGAGGAGGAGCGCACCCACAAGAAAAGACCCCGACGCCACTGAAAGAGGGCCTTGCGAAGGATTAGATTATAAGCTTGTACTATCTTTAAGAAAAAACTCAGGGCAGTTGCTGGACTGCTACTGGGCGCGTCCCCCGGGTGGCGGATAGGGGAATGCCACCACATTGGTGGTACCGGTTCAACCGGCGCGGACCAAAACCAGCAGGCATGGCCGTGCCTTTAGGGGTTCG